TTCCCTCCTCTCCTTCTATATTCACCTCGTCGCCGCCCGGTGCGGTTCAATGACTACGAAAAATTTTGCTGTGAATACCTAATCTTAGTTATTTGCTCGAGAACAAGCTTCAATCCGGACAGGCGGATGTTTAAATCTTTTAGACGTTGTTTAAGCGTCTTTCACAGACGTCTCTTTACGGGCTTTTGTATTATATGTTTGCGTCTGCGCGCTCTTGCGGTGAGATTATATCAGAGACTTGTGCAGACTCTAAAATTAAAGGGGCAAGTAAGAGAGCAAAGAGATACGTCGATATCCTACGAAGATGAAACGTTAGTTTTATGGGTGAACTGTATAGTGTTATTCTAGCACACGTGATATCAAGTTAGTGATGTGCAGTTTTCGGTAAGATTCGTTCGCGGATGGAGAGTTTGTATAATATTAAATTTTAAATCACTGTGATCATTAAATTCAAGATTAAAGGCGATAAAATCGTGCAACGATACCTATTGTCTTCTTTTACTTGCCCCTTAGACCGTCTAGTTAAAGAACATTTTTTCGCGCCAAGAAAGCGGAACCTGAAATAGCGAAGTTTTGATGAGCTTTCCGAAACGACGAGTACCATTTCAGCATGATAGCGACATGTTATAAATCTGCACACACATTCGTAATATTTATATTTACGATAAACGTTATTATACGCATTTTTAGAATTACATGACCAGGATATACCGATACGTAAGCGAGAGACATACACGCGTGCGTTTGCATCTCTGTTATATTTGTAAAATTCATCCTTTTCAGGATCTCTCCGTGATTAAAAATCCCGGCAAGATAAGAAATGTTACGACAAACAAATATACACGCGTACATATTTACATTTTTTGCAAATATAATCTACCTTTTTTCATTCACTTTTTCTTTTTTATTTTGAAAATTATATCTACAGAAAATTTCCCGAAAATCTCTGATATATTTTTAGACACGACCGATTAAATTTTGTAAAAAAAGATTGAAGAAAGTTTAGAATTATTCTCTATTCTTTCTGTTATTTCAAATGCATACATAGCAGTTCTAAATCCTTCAGATTTTATCATCGATTACATCGATTTGCCTGTAAATGCAAAAATTTGGACAAATTTAAAAACATTTTTTGTATTCTATTTTGTTTTATATATATAATATTATATATTTTTATATATATATATTGGTCGTAACTAAAAACATGTCAGAGTAAGTAAGTTCTGCAAATCCAGATTTACGTGAAATGTGGGGTTTTAGGATTACTTTTGCCAACAAAGTTTTGAAACCGAACGATCCCGTCGAAACAATCTTGTTTACCGTTGTGTACAAGCGATCACTGTTAGAGATAATCCGATTTAGTAGATTATCCCTAATTTTTCTACTTAACTTTGCTCTCGCAAATATTCTGGCTTTACTCTCCGATATAATCTTT